TTTGTATTAGGGTTTATTTTTTATATTGTGTAGGTAGTTCTAGGAGTTTTGCCAAATATATATAATATCATGTATGTACCATTACAGTATCCTACAGAATAGTTTCATTGCCCTAAAATTCTCCTATGCTGTACCTATTCATACCTCCTCCCTGCCCCACCCCAAACCCTTGGTCACCCTTGGTGACCACTGATCTTACCACCTCTGTAGTTTTTTCATTTTCCAGAATGTCATATGGTTGGAATCATACAGTATGTAGCCTTTTCAGATTGGATCCCATATCTTCTTGTAGCTGGATAGCTCATTTCTTTTTGACAATAAATATTATTAATATTCTGTTGTACCATCATTTGTTTTTATATTCACCAACGGAAGAACATTTGGGTCACTTCCAATTTTTGGCAATTACAAATAAAGCCGCCATACACATTTTTGTATTGACATAAATTTTCAACTTGTTTAATTACCTAGAAGCACAGTTGCTGGGTCACATAGTAAGCCTGTTTAGCTTTATAAGAAATCCCCAAACTGTCTTCTAAATTGGGTGTATCATGTTGCATTCCCACTAGTTAGGATGAGAGTTTCTGTGACTCCACATCCTCACCAGCATCAAGTATAGTCAGTGCCTTGCATTTTAGCCATTCTAATAAGTACATAGTATTATAGCTTTAATTTGCAGTTCCCTAATTGAGCATCTTTTCATAAGCTTATTTGCCATCTATTTATCTTCTTTGGTATATCTGTTGATCTTTAGCCTACTTTTTAAAATTTTGTGATACATTAAGTTTATCATCTTAACTATAAAAATACAGTTCAGTAGTATTAAGTATATTCACCTTGTGCAACAAATCTGTAGAATTTTTTCATCTGGCAAAACAAACTCTATACCCATAACACACTAATTCCCCCTCTCCTCCTCCCAGCCCTTGGCCAACCACCCTTCTACTTTGTTTATGTGATTTTCACTACTTTAGATACCTTATAGGAGTTGAATCATGCAGTATTTGTCCTTTCATGGCTGACTTAATTCACTTAGCATCCAGGTTGAAGCATGCAACTGGATGTCTTTTTTGCATCCACTGATGTATTTTTCCTATTTAGCCTATTGGGGACGATATATTATATCCATTGATTCTCAAATGTTGTGCCAGGCTTGTATACCTGGAATAAATCTAAATTGACCATGGCATATAATTCCTTTATACATTGTTAGATTTGACAATACTTGGTTGAGGATTTTTACAACTACATTCTACATGTTTATCTCTTGTAGACTAAAATGAGGTTTTGAATAGTCAAATCTTTTACTTTGTAGATAATTAACCAAAAATGATTACATAGTATTGTTTTTGATTCATTAACCTAGAGGGCCTATATTTCTGAACTCCACAAATGGGTTGAGAATGTACCAAATGCTGGTAATCACATCAGAGCTTGTCTCCAGCTCTAGAGTTCACAATCTAGAAAAACTAAAGCATAAATTGCTGAAAGGTCTAAGAGCTGCTTTCATCATCACTGCTACATCTTTAGTTATGTAGTTCTACTTAATTTAGCAATGAAGATTGATTTTGAAATGAATTGGGATATGTTTGTTGATGGTGTTGATCACATTTAGCCAGAGTTAGAATTTCTCCATTCTGTCAAAATATTAGTCAACTAATTATAACAACAACAAAATCATTGGATTTCTTAAAGAAAATTTAAAATCCAATACAGAATTCTGATCATTTGTGTGCACAGCCTACTTCCAGTCATTCTCATTTGGAACTTGTCTGCCGCCTCTAAGCTCATCTAGAGTTTAAGTGTATGCAATAAATATGTTACATTTAATCTTAAATCTCAAATGATCTTGCTACCGACAGGTGTTTTTCTTTTTAGAGGTAAATGTGATTTTAAATCCTGGAAGACCTGTTGTGATGTCCTGTAAGCCTTATTTTTATTGGGTTAAGCTGGATTGAATTGGTTTGGGTTTGGGTTGAGGCTGAGAAGCCTCTTCCAAGCAGATAATAATGATTCATTATTGTCCTTCTTTTTTGTAGTATGTTCGTGGTTCAGACCCTGTATTAAAGCTTTTGGACGACAATGGGAACATTGCTGAAGAACTAAGCATCCTCAAGTGGAACACAGACAGTGTAGAGGAATTCCTGAGTGAAAAGTTGGAACGCATATAAATCTTGCTTCAATTTTGTCCTATCCTTTTGTGACTTTATCAAATGAAATATTACAGTACCTAGAGAATATTGTAGTTTTGCTTCCTTCTCTTTCTTTTTCCGTGAGGCATTAAACATCTAATTAACAGTTGAAGTGGCAGCACGGCTCACGTTACCCAGGGATTTGGCACGCTTAACAAAACTCGTTTTTAATAAAGTTCCATCCTCCTATAGTTGCTGGGACCACTAACAAAATGCTTTGTAATAGACCTGTGGTTAATTAGGCAAATGATGGTTTGTAATAATTGGTCCAGTTTTACAAAGGACAGATTTTTCAATCCGGGAGGTTAATAAGGGAGAGGATTGCTGTGCCTCATCCATGCACTGTGTGCTCTTTGAAAGTAATAACGAAAAACTACAAAGCAAATAAGATAGACTGAGCCTCAACAGATTGCCTGATTCTCAGATTCTCTCATATTTTTGTAATACCCAGCTTTCCTTTGAATAGAAATGTTATAGTTTATAATGAATGTGTTGCATTAAAACTTTATGGCTTCATTATTGTAAAACAGATTCAAGATCTACAGTAAGAGGGAAACATTCACAACGATTTGCATTAATGAAGACTACACAGAAAACCTTCATGAGGATTTGTGTGGATCTGATGATATTTAGCAAATTTTTGTGCTTTACCTTCTTACAGAAAAGCCAATTTAGAAATGATCGTTTTTAAGACCAAAATATAAATAAAGTTTCAAAAATCAATGAGAATTTGAAATTCTGATTTGTTCTTTCATGTCTAAAAAATGATACATTTCTCAGTGTATTTTTTATGTTCTTTTCGTAGAAGCCCTCCCTTTTTTATCCAAATTATTTTTTTTTTTTAATTTTTTCCCGTTTATTTATTTTTGCGACAGAGAGAGAGCATGAACGGGGGAGGGGCAGAGAGAGAGAGAGACGCAGAATCAGAAACAGGCTCCAGGCTCCGAGCCATCAGCCCAGAGCCTGACGCGGGGCTCGAAATCCCGGACCGCGAGATCGTGACCTGGCTGAAGTCGGACGCTTAACCGACTGCGCCACCCAGGCGCCCCTATCCAAATTATTAAAATGGCTACACTGCTAGAAACTTATAACTTATTGTGGGTAATGTTGCTTTATATTTGCAATTTTTTTATTTCTCTAAATTGCTTTCATCCGTGAACACATTTTTATTGATACCTTCTATAAGGAATATTTCAAAAGACAGAATTTTTATGCACTATTAAAAATGATTTTTCTTGGGGCACCTGAGGGGCTCAATTGGTTAAGCTTCGGCTCAGGTCCTCATCTCACAGTTTGTGAATTCAAACTCCACATCAGGCTCTGGGCTGAGCATGGAGCCTGCTTGGGATTCTCTCTCCCCCTTTCACTCCCCCATATCCACATGTGTGTGCACACTCTCACAGAAATAAACATTCATTTTTTAAAAATGATTTTTGTTGCTTGACCCTCTGATGGTTCACTCAGAACAACATTCATCCAAATGAATTTAGGTCATTTAAACCTCTTACTAACTTATCAAATTGGTCTAATCTTATTATGTCAGCTTAATCTTAGGATAAATTAATCTGGAAACTTTAAAAATAAATCGAGAATTAAACCATCTAAATGAAGGATATTTGGAAGTCTTTAAAGACAACTCTACCAGAAAACTGTATATAGAATATTTTAATAGAGATTGGTTAATTTTTACTAGCATTTAATAGTACTCAAAAGTACTTAAAACATACTTAAAAGTATGTTTATTAAAGCCATGAAGAGAATAAACCCTAGGCAAGTTGGTTAATCAATATATGAGAAGTCTTGACAAACAGACTGTGATCTACCTTTGATCATTTAGAGTAATGGGAAGAACCATCATTGTGATAGAAGACTCTGGATAGTGTGGCACTAATTCCCAGTGGCTGTTGTTACTTCAGAACAAGAGGCAGGGGAAGCAGTCATGGACAGTGGAAAAAGCAGCACAAGGCGGTGCTACCACATACAGATGAACAGTAGAAGGGGTGACATTTCAAAACTTCTGGATTGGCACAGGACACTAATTGGACTGCTGTCTGGGCAGGGAGAGCCAATTAAATGAGTATCTGGCATTGGTTTAAAAAAAAAAGTGACGAGAAGTTTAAAAAGTCCTTTAAAGTTATTATATTCAAGTTATTATGAGAGATCAAAAGAGGCTAAAGAACCCCACAGGATCTTAGAACTTGAAGTTCTTGAGTTGATAACCGTTTTCTACCAAGCTCCACTATTTTAACTGTGAGGTTCACTGAATCAGCCAATTCTGACTTTTTCACCAGTTCCAACCAAAGGACACCTGAAAGCCCTTTTTAAAAAAAATGATTACCAGGAAAGAGAAAAATACTGATCCAAAAGTGTCATTTTGTAGCCCAGTTCTGACATTTGATTAAGCTTATTTATGTTCACAAATATGAATATGTAATATTTGATACTTATAAATTTGTTCCCCCTGCCAAAGTGTTACATATAACCTAAAACAGTTTATCTCTAAATTCCTGAATTTGGCAAAAGCCTCATAAAAGGAACTACGAACAAAAACTAGCATTTCTTGTTTTAAGAGGATTTGAGGTTTAAAAGCTAATCTAAAATTAAAAGATACTAAAATGCAGAAAATGCTTTTGAAAGCAAATACTGCAAAACTTTGGAAAGTAAAATCGGCCTTACCTTGTACGTGAAAGCAAATACATGGAGAGAAGGGGTACAGGTTCCAGATAGGAGGAGCACAGCTAGGTAAGTAGTTCTTTTACTTGAGAATTCTAAAGTGCATTCTAATTACATTCTGTGGTGACAGAGGACTTGTTCTGGGAGAAGGCCTGCGTTTGTGCCCAAAAATTCAGACTAGACTTTTGCTGATTAAATATAAGCATTTTAGGGGCGCCTGGGTGATTCAGTTGGTTAAGTGTCCGACTTCAGCTCAGGTCATGATCTCGTGGTTTGTGAGTTCATGCCCTGCATCGGGCTCTGTGCTGACAGCTCAGAGCCTGGAGCCTGCTTTGGGTTCTGTCTCTGGCTCTCTCTGCCCTTCCTCCGCTCTCACACATGCTCACTCGCTCTCTCTCAAAATTAAGCATTTTTTAAAAATGTAATAAGTAATAAAACTGTCTATAACCCCACAATCCTAATACCCAAGGCAGTTTTAAAGTCATTCACAGATGTGTGCAGAGCAGCAAAAAATTTGAATCCCCCAATGCACACATTCCCAGCTAAAGTCAAACAAGTGACACTGCCTTATTTCAGCTCTCATGCTGTAGACAAATAGCCTTTTCATAGTCTATTTAATGCCACGTTTTTTGTATTTTTGTGCTTTTTGTTGATTTAGCCTTTTAAAATGGCCCCCAAGCTGAGCACTAAAGTGCTGTCTAGTGTTCCTAATACGAGCAAAAAGGCTACAATGCACCTTATGGAAAAGAGGCATTTTAGAGTTTTGTTGAGGCATGAGTTACAGTGCTAGGGGCCGTGAGTTCAGTGGTGATAAAATCAACCGTATGCTTCAAGTGTCTTCAAATAGAAACACAAATAGGTTGACAAAAATTTTGTGACCAACGGCTTCCAGGAACTTAACCCTGCCTGTATGTCCCCTGAGAGCAAGGGTCTGTTACCTGTAAATTCAGCTTTGCAGCAACTTTATAGAACTACCATAAGTACTGGAAATGGACTATTACTGTACATTTTTATTGAGATAGAATTCACATTACCCACTTAGAGTATGCAATTCAATGTTTTTTTAGTATATTCACAGAATTGTGCAATCATCATCCACTAAATTTAGAACATTTTCATCATCTCAAAAAGAATTCCTATACCTATTGGCAGTGACTCCCACACCCACCTACCCCCAGCCCTGACAACCACTAATCCTGCTTTTCTGTCCAAGTGGGTTTTCCTATTCTGGATATTTCATATAAATGGAATCATCCAATATGTGGTTACTTGGCTCACGTCTTTCATTTAGTATGTCCTCAAGGCTCATCCATATTACAGCATGTGTCATCAGTGCTTCATTCCTTTTTATGGCTAATATTCCTTTGTATGACTGTACTGTATTTTATCCATTATTTGGTAGACATTTTGATTGTTTCCACTTTGGGGCTGTTATGAATAATGCAGCTATATGTACTCATGTACAAGTTTGTGTATCGAATTAACTTTCATTTCTCTTACGTCTATTACTAGGAAGGGAACTGCTGAATCATACTATCTATGTTTAACTTTTTGAGGCACAAACTTCCAAAGCGGCTACACCATTTTACGTTCCCACCAGCAAATGTACAGAGTTCCACTTTCTGTAGGTCCTAAATTTCTTGATCTCTCATTAAGAGTACTCATTTTATAGTCTCATCATCAGGGGCTACTGAGATGTGTTAAGTGCTTTGCCCCCCATTAACCCGTCTTCAGACTGTAATTGTCTTTCAGTTCTTTATTCTCTCAATTTTACCTGCCCTACTGTCACTTTACTCTTTCCCAACCTCAGTCATTAAAAAAACTAATGTCCCGGGGTGCCAGGGTGGCTCAGTCGGTTAAGCGTCCGACTTCGGCTCAGGTCATGATCTCAGGGTCCGTGAGTTCGAGCCCCGCATCGGGCTCTGTGCTGACCGCTCAGAGCCTGGAGCCTGTTTCAGATTCTGTGTCTCCCTCTCTGACCCTCCCCTGTTCATGCTCTGTCTCTCTCTGTCTCAAAAATAAATAAACGCTGGGGCGCCTGGGTGGCGCAGTCGATTAAGCGTCCGACTTCAGCCAGGTCATGATCTCACGGTTCGTGAGTTCGAGCCCCGCGTCGGGCTCTGGGCTGATGGCTCAGAGCCTGGAGCCTGTTTCCGATTCTGTGTCTCCCTCTCTCTCTGCCCCTCCCCCGTTCATGCTCTGTCTCTCTCTGTCCCAAAAATAAAAATAAAAACGTTGAAAAAAAAAATTTAAAAAAATAAATAAATAAAAATAAATAAACGCTAAAACAAATTTTTTTTTTTTTTTAAAAACTAATGTCCCCACATCTAGTAGAGGTCACATTCTAATGAGAGCTAACAAATAAAAGCACAAATATAACAATTATGGTAAAAGTAAAGAAGAAAAAGTTACTAGAAAAGAACTACAAAGGAAACTAATGAGCTTAGGGAGCTCTGAAGGATGTGATATTTAAACTGAGGTCTAAAATATGAATAGAAGCTCTGCACGTAAAGAGTGAATTAAAATGTCTTCCAGTCAGAAGGGAGAGCATGTGCAAAGATCCTGGCTTAGTAGAAAGTTTGGAAGCCACATACCTGAAAGAAGGCCAATGTGTCTGGAAACAAGTTAACCAGAGGAAAGGGTAGTAGGAAATGAGGTCATGAGGGTAGGCAGGGAGGATCCAATACATGTCATCTAAGAATTCAGCTGTATTCTGAGTTGCTTTCAGAATAAAACCTTGAGCCGGGGAATGACAAAACCCAATAAGGCCAACTCCAAAGGTCATAAACAATCAACAAATATTTATGCCTACATAAACACTTAGCTTTCACCAAGGACTAATAACCTCTTCGGGAACCTTTAGTATACAACTTGCTTTGAGTCCAATATTCATGTGTGCACATACTAAAAGGATTCTTAAAATATTCACTAGTTATGTGAACTAAGAGGAAGTGTCTTCGTTCACACTACACTCGGGCATTCCTCCTTGCCATCTTTAAGCTAAGCACAAATCTCAATTCTAGCTCCAGGGAAAGACCGTGGAGCTCTAGTCTTGGAACTATTTGACTCTACATCCCAGCCTTTTCTGTTACCACCTCCATTGTAACGGTTACCAGAGTTCTTGGGACTGGTTCGATCTCCTCCGATATTCAGACTTTTCACCTAAGTCCCTGGTTCCAGTTGCCTGATCTTTCCAGTTGCCTGAATGCCCATATGCCCATGAATACCAAACGAGACTATCCTGTTTGCCACTCAAGATTTTGAAATCCATTAACCTGGCCTGAATTGTGCTTCCATTTCTTCTTTCCTGGCTTGAACATCTGGATACTGAGGCTGATCTGATTTCTGTGTTTTCCTAACTAATCCACTTTAAAGTGGATATTTTATCTCTGCATCTTAGTCCAACAATACAGAATTCTCAGTTCTTTCCCATATGGAATGAAATCTCTGTCCATCTCTACCCTTTGCCTACCCACTTGGTATTAGCTACATCTTACTCCACAGGCCCAGCCAGACCCCAGCCAACCATCTAGTCTAGTTTCTTTTACTGCATAACAAATCACACCAAAACTTTAAGTGGTTTAAACCCTAATTATTTTGCTCACAGATATATACTTTGGGCAGGGCTCAGTGAGGGCAGCTCATTTCTGCTCCATCAGGCATCAACTGAACTAGCTCAACTGGGACAACAGGATCCACTTCCAAGATGGGCCACTCGGAGCTGGCAAACTGGCACTGACTGTAAATTCTATTCCGTTAGGCAGTGTAGGCTTTCTCACAGCATGGTGCCTGGGTTCCAAAAGCAAGCATCTTTCTAAGAAGCAGGAAGTGAAAACCCTATTTCTCAAGGCCTGGGCCCCAAAATGACATGATGTCACTTTCACCATATTCTAGGAGTCAAGCAGTCACAGAGCTTAGATTGAGGGGAAGGAGACGGAAACTCAGTGGAGGAGTGTCATGTTTTAGAGCCATGTTTTTTTTGGATTTTTGGAGCCATGTTTTAAAACCACCACACCTGCTCACCTACAGCCCAGTGCATTTAGGCGATCTTTTCTTTCTGGCCCACCTCCCTTTTTTTAGTATGTTTTTATTTTGCCTTAAGGGGCATTTTTCTCGTTGCAGACTTGCTTTTAGCACTGTTTGAGAAATTCTTAGTTGCTACATGTGGTTCTAGGTCTAAAATTTGCCTCTTGGGGCACCTAGATGGCTCAGTCGGTTAAGCATCCCACTCAATTTCCACTCAGGTCATGTTCTCACAGTTTGAGAGTTTGAGCCCTGTGTTGGGCTCCATGTTGACAGCGTGGAGCCTGCTTGGGATTCTCCCCCTCTCCCTCCCTCCCTCTCTCCCTTTCTAGCTGTTCCTCCCCGGCACACACACTCTCTCTTTAAATAAAGACACTTAAAAAATATTAAAACTTGCCTCTTGGACTTCTAATTAGAGCAAAGCAACTTTGTCAGTTTTGAACTGCTAATTTTCAAAGCAACATGAACATCTCTAAGTTAGTGTCACACATGACACTCCCAACCTTAAAGCAGACCTGATGTAAGATACCTGCCCACTCTGCCAGCACAATTCAATAATTCTGTTTATCTGGTCACCTTATTTGTAATTGGTAGCAATAAACTTCATATTCATGAATATGAATGATGATTTGTTTTAAATCGTCAACATTTCTTCCTGTGATGGGTCAAAATGGCCAGGCTATGGTACCCAGTTGTTTAGTCAAACTCTAGATGCTGCTATAAAAGGTACTATTAAATATGATTAATAGTTGTAATCATTTGAAGGCCCTAACAACAAAGACTGAGGTTTCCTGAAGTGGAAGGAATTCTGCCTCAAGAGAGCAACACAGATAGTTCTCCAGTCCAAGGTGGCGACATAGGAAGACCCTGAACTCACATCCTCCATGGACACACCGAATCTACACCTCATTATAGACCAGTGTGTCCTAAATAATTGCTGACTGCAGCTTCTGCACAATCAAAGATAGACCATATAGAGAAGGCCAAGGGAGACAGAACAGAGTAACAAAGAGCCCCCAACACCTGATTCTGTAAACTGCAGTGGGGAGAGACGATACGGAGGGACCACGAGCAGATTCATCTGCCCTGGGGCACAGGAAAAAAGGCACAGTTTAAAACGGCAACTAAATTATAAAGGAACGAGCCTAGAACCCTATCAAACAGTGGGGGAGACGCTAGACCTCTGTCCAGGTCAGAGGGGCTAGTGAGCACCGTAGTTTACCTCTCCCCTTCACCTTGGTAGTACAGATGGGAGCTAACTCTGGGCACCTGTTGCCTCAGCAAGCCCTGGACACTCCAGGGCACAGAGAAAAAGGCTGTGGTTTTAAAAAGCAATGAGAACATAAAGAATCCAGCCCTAGGGGCGCCTGGTTGGCGCAGTCGGTTAAGCATCCAACTTCAGCCAGGTCACGATCTCGCGGTCCGTGAGTTCGAGCCCCGCGTCAGGCTCTGGGCTGATGGCTCGGAGCCTGGAGCCTGTTTCCAATGCTGTGTCTCCCTCTCTCTCTGCCCCTCCCCCGTTCATGCTCTGTTTCTCTCTGTCCCCCCCAAAAATAAATAAATAAAAAACGTTGAAAGAATCCAGCCCTAGAACTCCACCAAATGGCTAAGGAGCTGCTGGAATTCTAGGTCGGAGGGGCTGGCAAGCACCAAAATATACCTTTCCCCTCCACCGTGACAGTGCATACAGGAGAAGGGTCTGGATCCCCTGGCCAACCTACCATCTCAGTAAACTCGGCCCCAGCCCACACCAGCCCAAGCCATCCCACCAAGGAGTTCCAGAAAAGTGCACACCAGGACAATCCTGGTCAGCGCTCACTACAGCTCCAGTTGTCTTGCTAAGGTGACCCAAATACAAAGCATCCTGGAACACTCCAGGCCCACATCACTTTGCCTCCAGACAACTTGCCAGGACAATATTGGCACATAGCACCCCAGGAACTCCCTGCTCATAGCTATTTTTATTCTAACTATCCCACCAGGGTGCCTTCTTTACAAAGTGCCCTGGGACTCCCCAGCCCAAGCCTGCCTTGGCTCCTGCCACCTTGCCAGGACATCCCCTGTGTGGAGTGCCCCGGGACCCCCTGCACCATATCCAATTCTGCTCCAGGAACCCCAGCAGGGTGCTCCTGCACTAAACACCCCAGGAGAACCTGACTTGCACCAACTTCAGCTATCCTGTCAAAACATCCTCAGTGCAGACAGCCCCAGGACCCACTGGCTTATACCCACTTCAGCTTCACCTGTCCTACCAGAACATCCTCCGCACAGAGAGCCCTGTAGGCCCCTGACATGCACCTGTTTCAGATTTCAGCTGTCCTGCCAGGGAACCCTCGGTGGAGAGCCCTGGTTCTACACTATCCCATGCCCACTTCAGGTCTGACCATCCCATCTGGGCAGCCCCAGCAGACAGTGCCCCAGGACCCCCAGTCCAACCAGCCACAGCTCAGGCAGCCAACAGCAGTCACTAAGCACAGACCATCTACACAGGGGACAACCATACACAGACCACTTTCAATTTTAGAAGTAGCTATTCCACCTAATTCATGGAAACACAGAAAGTCAAGCAAAATCAGA